ACATGGACAATCAGCCTTGATGTAGAGGAGCTTTGGGCAACTCTGCTTGAAGGAGAAGCAATTGTCTCCATTTCGGCTGAACCTGACCCTACTTCCATGTATTGATAAGTACAGAACTGGCCAGGGCTTTTCCTTATCCCTTCAACTGGCTTTAAGCAATGCACACTGGTCCAGCTGAGGTGCTGATATGTAGTCTTTGAAGCAGAGGTGACAGGGCAATGTTTTCCCAGCCCCCTCCCCATAGCACCCATGTTTGAGCCAGGATGTGATTGGATGGAGAGCCATGCTCCACGCTGTTAGTTGGGGTCAAGCCTCAAGATAAGAGGCTATGGCTTCCCAGAGCATAAAAGATGACACATCAGAGCTAAAGCACTGACTCCAAAAGATTAGATACTACTTTGAATTGTGTTGTGCAGATTACTCTTTCTGCATATGGCAGAGGTGATTGCAGGCCTCCTACCTAGCCCAGCTCATGGCATTCACCTACTTCCTGCCATTCTCACAGTCACTCATCCTCAAGCCACTCCTCTCTTCATAAATTAATAAAACCTGGGTGTGGCCCTGCGTCGAGGCTTTTCTTCTGACTATCCATCATCATGGCAGGACTTAGGGCCCCTGGGCTCCCCATAACTACAAATATGTCTTAGTGTGTTTATTCTCAATGGAAGTGGTAGATTGGATTTGACTCGCTAGAATTCCAATAACTTTTGTTGGAGATTACAAATACAAATTTCCTGGGCAGAGATGAGGACATGGAAGGGCTCTTTACACCTTGAGAGAAGGTCATAAAACCTTTTCAGTAGCTGTTTTGGAGACTGTCACTTTGCATAGTGAGAGGTCAGAGCTGAAGATCAAGCACAGGACACAATTTAATAGAGGAGGATATATAAAGAAAATTTAATGTTAGGGTAGAAGAGTATCATACACCAAAAACAGAAGAATAGATTTTGAGACCAGATTCTTTGATCAAAGTAGATGCACTTGAGAATTTAAGTCACTTGATCTAGCTTTGCTTCTTAATAAACAGTCAATTATACTTTTCCAGTATGGAACGCACTCCTGTGAGGTAGATGCTTCACAAAACAATCCTTCAATTCCTCAGGATCTGACTGGACTTACCCTCCAGCTCGTGCATAGTTACAGAAAAAGAAAATCAAAACATGGTTAAAAATAATAGTTTGAATAAACAACATTTATGTTGGAAATGAAAAAAATGACTGTGAGAAAGATATTATTTATTCTATTTTATGCTAATTATCCTCTCATTAAACAGAACATGATTGTGAAAGCATTTGATATTCTAAAAGACAATCTGGATTATACACCCAAGAGCTCTGAAATATGGTTAACATGAATCATCATGGAAAAGGAAAATATACCCAAGAGTGTATTCTCAGAGTGCTGGCTTCAAGGGAACAGATTATAAACTGAAAAAAAAAATAGTTTTCTCATGATGGAATATCCTCCCATAGCACAGAATTTAATATTCTGACAAAGGATTTAGAAAATATCATTTTATTGACATTTGTAACCTCCAGAAATAAACTACATTCAATGAAATAGAAAACAAGTAATTGGTGATATGCTACTACAAAAGAGAAAATACTCAAGGCACTGGGTGCTCTAGACTGGTTCCTCCAGAAAAAACTGGAAACCCACAAGATATTATTTTTCATGATGAAAACAAATATGTTTTTAAGGAGGGCAGCACATCACAGAGATCACTTAGAGTTCTCCTTTCTAAAACTGGGCTGATGGGAGGCTTTCCTGTTGGTAGCACATATATTCCTTGGTGTTCATGGGATGAAAGAATTCCAGAGAAGCAATGGGCAGCAATGTCAAAATGGTAGCAAGAGATACCTCATTCGCTGTGGTTTGTGGAGATTCTAGAAGATCCTAGTGGGTCCTCATCAAGACGGACAAACAGCCAACTAAAATGAAGCTATGTCTATCATACATATCAATCACACATACATGTGTATTTGTACAGGAATAAGTAAAATTCACATGAATGGAACCATTGAAGAGTCAAAATCCACGTTTCTTGACTTGAACACAGCTCTCAGATGTAAAACGTTGATAGAAGAAGACAGTGGATATCTTAAGGAAAGATCTAGTAACAAGGGCTTGAGGGTAATATGGCATTGGTGCCCTTTCCTAAACCTTTCTATTGGGCCAGTGCATAATTTCTCTAAATTTGGGGAACTTCAAGAGCATACTGCAGCCGTTAGCAGAACACTGACTTTGAAGGCAGGTGAGTGGCCGTGCTCGGGAGATTAGGAGCACCCTGACCCTTCACTTGTGGAGATGTTAGAGGTACTCACTGAGTGACACAGTACAAAGTGCTGTCCTCTCATCCCCAAATGAGACCAACTGTGTCACACAATTGATGGTGCAGGGTAGAACTAGTGTCTAGCAGATGTTATGTCCTATTTTAGCTTTCTTTCTCTATCGTATCTTCCTTTCCTCTTTCTCATTATTTCAAAAATGCTGCTTCTCTGCATCACTTTCCCAAAAGTCACTGTTTTGTTTCTGCTTCTAAGAGAACTGAAGTTTAGAAACATATTCAAAGTCAAAATCCTATCTGAGTCTGGTACTCTGCTTGATGCTTGGTACGCAGCGGAGGAATCATACAAACAATTCTGACTCCTCCGTGGCTGTATTATAGAAGAGAGAGCTTCTCTCATGCACCTTAGCTCCCATTGTCCATAAAATTGAGATAATGCTGACTGTAGTATACATAGCACAATGCATCCACCGAGAAGTATTCATTATGAGGCCTAGTCACAATAAGTATTCAGTACAGGACAACTATATTTATTGTGCATGTTTAAATATCTCTTAGTTATCTTTACTGTATAAGATAGTAATAATGCTTGCTAATATTAAATCAATATATATCAGTGTTCCATGAACTGACATAAAGCATTTATGCATATCCATGTAATTCAGTAATTCTATGTTAGTATTTTTCATAATTGTGTTTCCTACATAAAAAAAAAAAAAACAACTGAGAAATTGATGAATACTTGGAGCGCCCCTCAGGGATATAGCTCAGCAGCACAGTGCCTGCCTAGCAAGCGCAAAGTCATGCCCAATTCGATTCCCATGTTTGATTCCTGGTATCAAAAAAAAAAAAAAAAAAAAAAAGGCTTGGAGTGCCCCAATTCTCTCGTCTGATAAATAATAGTGTTGGGGTATTCAACACAAAGCTGATTCTCTAGGTTCACGCTTTTAACCACAACACTTCTCTGACTGTCTCAAAGCTAATGACAGTACAAGCAAAAGTTAAGAATTAACAAAGTTAGAGTAAAGTTACAGCTCAGTGTTAAACTGAGTGCTTAGCATGAGGGATGACTTCATGAGAAATGACCCACGGAACAAAAAAAAGTAATTAATTTGAGTCCTTTCTATGGTGGCATTTTAAAAACAAAATATAAATATTTTCTTAATACTATAATCGTTTTAAACACTTTTTGGGGGATATTCCCAGTCACTGGGTAACCTATATTAGGAGGATAAAAAAATCCTAGAAAATACCTTTCTGCGTTTTTTTTTTTTAACTCTTTGATCGCTATTATAATATAAAAGTGGTTTCAATGGGAATGTGTGACCATTGTGTCTTATCAGAGGAAATTTGGAAGCAGCTTGGTACAAAAATCTGCTTATATAATAAGTCATATTTCTTCTCTATGGAAGCCTTACAGATTCATTCTTATTGTAAGGATTAGCTTTTCAGAACTATTTCATGTTTTGATCTATAGAAAATTCCTTAAATAATGCAGAAAAGAAAATACCTGGTTGGGTTTTTGTCTGTTTTGAAATTCTTTTTGATGATGGAAACTCTAAAACTATAATTTAAATAATAATATGGGCTATAATTCACGATACTTTCGTAGTCTTTTTTCATATAATCAACGCATGTTCCTAGTTTTAAGTAAAGCATATTATTGAAAGTAGGATGCATTTTGTGTATTTTCCCACCAAATTTGCTAAGCCACTAACTTCCGAGGCTGCACTGTGAAGTAACTGCGATGACCTTCACTGTATGTACGAGGAAAGTAGGCCAGGAGGAGGAGTGGCAGCCACCGCATTCACACAGCTGCTAAGAGGAAAAACAAACTGGACCCGGGCTACTAGATGTTCTCATTTTAATCAATATACTCTGCCATTTCCACGAAGAGCAATTAAGAATCATCTGATGTTTGGAAAATGTAGGACATACAGTAGACATATGGAGAGGGCGTGTGTCAGAGAAGAAAGAAATACGTTTTCTGCTAATTATGCTGATTGACAGAACTAAAATTTTGTATGAATGCTTGTGATATTTGGGCAAGCTCCTTTCCATTGATTTGTAATGAGATCTAACTTTAAATATTCAAATATTCAGCCCATGCAATTGAGAAAAATATGCCAAATTTTAAAAAGTATTGTATAAATTTATAAGGTGAGATAAAGGCAGTACAAAAAACAGTGCATAAGTGTCCAATAGATGTGCATTATAGTTTTTTTTTTAAATAAGATAGTTTCTAACCTAGTGTTTTCTTTTCTTGCCCTATACAATGAGAAAAATATTGTCTACCACTTATGTTGTATAGGACATTAAAAAACACATAGCAGGTATATGGTAACTAGTGTTACCATCATTATTAGCTAGATTTTATGATAGCCTCATTAAAAGACTTTAGTGTTTTATTTTCCTATACAAAACGCAATCATTATTACCATTAAAGCAAATTCATAAAGGCACTACTTTATTTTTTATTTATTTATTTGTTTAATTTTTAGTAGCAGCAATCAAACTCACGACCTCACACTTACCAGGCAGGTACTGTGCCACTGAGCTATGTCCCTGGCCCTGGCACTACTTTAAAGAGGCTTTATGTCACTTTAGATCTCAGGAAAATGCACTAATTGTATTTTACTAGTTTCCTAGGGCTCCTGTACAAAGTTAACACAAAAGATGTAGCTTACAACAATAGATATTTTATTATTTCCAGGTTCTGGAGGACAGAAATCTGAATTCAAGGCGTTGGCAATACCATGCTCCCAGCAAAGACTCAAGAGAATGCTTTCTTTGATTTTTCCAGTTACTGGTAGGTCCAGACATTCCTTGGTTTGTAGATGCATAATTAGAATCTCCACCTCCAGTGGTGACATGACTGTCTTTTCCATCTGTGATGATTCCCAGATTTTCTTTTTCTGATAAACATACCAGCCATACAGCATTAGACACCCAACTTGGTCTGGTATGACCTCATCTAAACTAATGCTGTCTCCAGTCATCCTCTTTCTGAACAGTGATAATAAGGTTGGAGAGTATGATTTCAACATATTGTTGAGAAACACGATGCAACCTATGAAAATATTCAAACTATCTTTAAAAACTATGGCTTTGTTTCAATGAATCTGGCTTTGGTCCTAGTAACAGCAGTGCTGGAAAAAAACTAATATCAAATCGACCTCTCTGTTTTTACTTCTGCTTCACGCACAGGTTCTCTTCGTTGGTATCATGCTGTCTGCGGGATTTCCTCAGGCCACAGGTTTTTCTCATTACTGTTTTGCCACAGACATTCGGTGGGTGATTCCTTTACCTGGCCTGTGTGGGGAGGTTGAGCTGGTTGTCAGCTTCATTTAGGGCAGCTTTGGTGGCGCTACTTTCCAGTATCTTGTGAGAGATCATTTACGGACAGCATTTAATTTACCATCAGTAACTTATGAGTAATTTAAAATAGATGCTCAAGCAATTAAAAATGAGACAATTTTCTGAAACATAACATGCTTCATTATATTCATATTTACTAAGTTGGGAATATATTTTGCACCTAAATGAACATTGTAAAGAACAATTTGGTAAAACTGAGCTCAGAAAGTCAAAGTTGTTACTACAAAATCTAGGGAGTTTCCTACTGGTTTTCAGTGTTTTCATATTATCCTTGCACACTCTGCTTGTATATATTGTGAAGTATTATCAGACTTCATAAACTTACTGTACTGATATTACTGAAATCCAGACTACATAGTAGTGGCTCAGATAACTTTACAGAAAAAAATCTCAAAATGAATTGTAGAGCTGTTGAAAATTATTCCTCCTGAAACAAATGAAAGAGAATTTCTTTTTGCGTGCATAGTATAGCTTTGCCTTGTCAAGCACCTTTACTGCTGGAATGTCAAGTGGATTTTAAAAAATGCATTAATGCAACCTATTTGTACCAGCACTGTGGCAAGCATTTGGAAGTTATGAAGGTACAAAAAATCCGAGACCCAACAGCTAGAAGATTTAATTCTGGCAGGAAAATATGAGCAACTAAGCTACCAACAACTACACTCCACAAGACCAAATTAAACGAACAGTGGATGTGTAGGAGCAGAACAAACTGCGAAGGAAACAGACATGATTGCCTTCGCAAGATGGATGCAGTTTTCTGTAGGGAGAACAATGCAGAAAAACAGACACCGGCATGGATCCCAGCCGAGCCTTCTTTGAGCTTTATTTATTTTGATCTGTAAAGTCAAAATGTTAATACACACTTTGGAAAGTTACTTTGAGAATGCAAGTTTAAAAATCTGAAAATGCTCTGTAAATTGTAAAGTACTACCTAAAAGTGAATTGCTGTTCTTATGATATTTATGGCTACCAGAGTTTCTCTGCAGATGTGATTTCCTCAATATTTTTAGGAGGTGCTCTACCGGTACTGCACCATTTACTAGATTGCTTGGAGAATGATACTTCTGGGTAGGAAAATAAAATGGAGCAAGATTGTGTGCATTTAACCCTGTTTCTGCATCCATAATCCAAAAATAACTATTTGCTCTTTGGGGAGTTTAGCCAATCTAAATGACAAAATAAAAGCTTTAGAGGTTTATTTATTTATTTTTTTTTACAGAAAAGTTCATGCTATAAACAGTAGTTTTAAAGACTCCTGGACCTCTAGCTCACCATATACTCCATATAAGGAACACCAGAATATGATTTTCATTCTGATTTCCATAAATGTTTCTGTGAGGAGAATAATTTTTTCTGAAAAGCTTAATAGAGATTTTCACAGTTCAAGCCCTTCATGAAAGAAGAGATTTGTGATTTTTTGGTATTCCTACAGTTTTTATGAAATGTTCTGTTTTCTGTTTAATTTTGCAAGAGTTACTCATGTGATAGGTGTGGAATTGATAATATTTTTAAGATTTTCAATAAAAATATAAAAGCTTCCAAGCCAGATTTATGCTGTATTTTTATGACATACTTTTGAAGGTTTTAATAGTAAGATGATAAGTGTAAAAGGATCTGATATGAAAATAATTCAAAAGAAGAAAAAATAAGAAGGAACCTCATGAACAACAAGTACCAAAATGCCACTGATTGATTCCAAAGTTCACCTTCGTGTATTTTAAAGTCAGAGCACATAGGGTTTCGCTTTTACTGTCCTTTTGCCTTTGTACCAACTTCTACAAACTATTTCTCATCACTGGTTAAAAAATAAAAGAGGGAGAGGCAACACAATAAGTGGAAATTTAAATTTCATTAATAAGAGAATGACATCTTAAATACTTTTCAATGAGTTACAGCAATGAGGTGACAGAAATGGAGATAGTGAGTAATTTTGTTAAGTACTGTTTTCTCAATAAATTCTAAATATATATGTGTCTTGGTTATTTTCCTGTCATTGCTGAGACAAAATACCTGACAACCACAATGAAGGAAAGAAGGGTTTATTTAGCTCGCAGTTTGTGAAGGTTTCAGTCCATACTTGGCTGGTTCCGAGGCAGGGTGGCACATGGCCAGAGGGCAAATGTTCATGGCGGCGGAAGACAGTAAAACAACAAGAATAAAATGGAAGAGAGGCGGGAAGGGCAAACCTCCTTCCATTACATGTGCAAACTGTCCACCCCAGGGCAGGTGCAGCCCTCACAACCATGAATCAAAGCTCTCAAAGCCTGCCCTGTGACTGCATGAGGATTGAGGGGACACACAGACACAAACTGTAACAATGTGCTACAAGAAGAAGGTTCTAATTTTGCTCATGCTAGTTTAGTCCTCCTGTGAGACTCCCTAACATGCATTATAGTAACAAAGCAGAGGCTGAAAAATGACTGTAACAGCTTGTGATGCACAATTTTTCCCCTTTCACCCCTGATTCCAGCAGCTGTTCAAAAAGCCAGTTCAGTAGGTGTGATATCCTCTCACATACTGAAGTAAAATGCTGGATGACCAATTGAGGCTATTCAAAAAGTTTGAAAACAGGTCAGTAAGTGGAAGCTCAAGACTCTCTGTACGCGGTAGAAAGAATTGCATGGAACGCATCAGAGGTGTGATGGCCCTGCCGCGAGAATCTGTTGAGAAAGTGTATTTGCTGTGATCCCTAGCTTCCTGTTCTTTGGTGGGATTTGGAAGATCAAAAGAAGCAAATGCCAGAAACTGCCCATGAACTAAGATGCAATATTGAGGACACATTTACTTCACTGTCCTATTTACTTTTTTTTCTGCTAAAAAGTGATCAAATAAACACTAAGAATTTTTTTCAAACTGCCACGTAGAACAATCTTATTTCAGCAAATATAAATCAATGCGTAATGCACCGTAAGTAATCAAAAACTGATTTAAAAGTTTAGCCAAAAAAAAATGTTTAGCCAATAATAGAAATTCTATAAATATTTATTGAATTTATGAATTGATGCTAGATGTTAGATAGAAGTGGCAAACTTGTAGCAAGTCTACAAATGTTAAATGTATTTTCAAAACACTGGGGAGCATTTCCTTTATCGTACAGGAAGAAGCAGCCATGGATGGAGTTCTTACGTTTTAACAAAATCCAAGAATGATAAGAAAAGTGTTGAAGGCTACAAGACCTTAAACTAGCTGCCCTGGACTTACATCTCAGTCTCAGAAAGAGAAGAGGCTGTTAATAAAACTGAAAGAAAAGTTTTACTTAGCTTGAAAGTATATCAGAGGCCCTGCAAAAATTACAATACCAGAGTGCTTTACACTGCTTTTCTGACTCCTGCTTCCTTTCCTTGATCTGGGAAGATACAAGCCAATATGCAGTTTCAGTAGTCTGCACGCTGACTTTCAAGGAGACACTCGGTCTTGCGAACTGGACTGACAGCAGCACCAAGCAAAGGAGCCGTGCTCCTGGGAACTGTAAATCAAGATGAGAAACGAGAGTTTCTTTTGTGCCTGCATAAACGTTGGCAATCGTCATATCATTCCACCAGGGAAGTAAAATGTAGGTAAGTGTGGCTGGAAGGATTCCTTGGGACGTGATAGACAACCGAAGTCAGAAAACCAGTGAAACACCAGGTATTTTAAAATAGATTAAACAAACATAGCCTATAGAGGGGTAAGGAATTGGGAAATGCTGTTTACAAGAATATATTCAATTGATTTACTAAAAATCTTCCAATCTTTCAAGAAGTAGAAAGATCACTGCAGCTGAGTTGACCATATGAAGATTTAGTTCAACGGCCTAAGCGTGAGTCAATCATTTTATAATTGCTGTCTTTCTGTAGAATTGGTAAGGTCAGAAATCCATCCTGTTGCAATTTTAATCACATGAAAAAGAATTTATAAGGTAATGAAACCATGAAAATACAGTCCGTGTAAGCTTAATATGCCACTAGATATTTAAAAAGAAAAAAAAAGAAAAAGCAAAGGCTAAAACAAGCACACATGGCTCCACGCCCAATCATTTTATTTCCATGAACAAAGCTGTTGGAGATCAACACCTGCACACTCTCCAGCGTGATCCCATTTCATAATGGGCCGTTGATGAATACGCTGTGGTTCCAGGTGTCATTGTCTTTTCAATCTTTGGCAACCAGAAATGGAGCATTTGCATGACAAACGATCACATCAAATTTTGGCAGTGAAGGGCCAATATGCTTTGAGAAGATATGCAGACAGAGACCTGCAGATGAGGCCAGTTTAACATAACTTATCTGCCTGGCTAGCTCCCTTTGGACGTCTCTGCGTGTCTGCGGGCAGGGTCCCTGGGACTATCAGTTCACGATGCAGCTGTGACAATAAACAGTGAGCAAAGCAGTTGCTTATACTGTTTGAGTTAAATAGCTTTTAAGTGAGTCATCCCAGCAGATGTTTTCCTTATATAAACGGAACAGGCTATCTACTTGTGAAAAATGTTACATGGGTTAATGATGTCACATCTTAATATTCCTCCAACTCCTTTAAGTCATCGTGAAAACTGAAACCTAACCCCCTATGGAAGTGATCAGGTTTGCTTGTGCATACATAATCCATTCTTAATAGTTTTCTTTCTACAAGTCTATGCTGCATACTGAGGAATAAAATAGTTTTTAAAAATTTTCCTTCTAGGCCATGAAGCACTTTCCCATCTCCCATTTTGTAGTTATTGTTTTGCTTCAAAGTAGCCAGAAAGAACAAAGGTTGTGTGGAAAAGATTTATATATTTACTTTTATAGTTTTAAGTGTAGAGAAAGGTGGGGTTAGAGCTGCTTGGGAAGAGTCATTTCTATGTGAGTAGATGCGTAGAAAAGATCACAGCAAAATGGCGGAATTCACAGCTGAGGGCTGAAAGAAAGACTTTAAACATCACATTTAAAATCAAAGGAAAAGAAAAAACCTCAAGTTAAAACGTTGGATGGTTGGTACTGCTTACAATCTTCACTTACTCATGAAATGAATCTCAGTAACTCTTTTTTTGTTTGTTTTTGTTTTTCTTCGGTATCGGGAACCGAACTCACGACCTTGCGCTTGCCAGGAAGGCACTTTTGCCGCTGAGCTAAATCCCCAGGCCTGAGTCTCAGTAACTCTTTACCAACCCTAAGCCGCTGTATTGGGTACAAATGAATTTACTCTTATACAAGACATTACAAACTTGTTGAAGAGAGAAAAGTTCTGGATGTGTAAAATGGCTTCCACCTACAGCTTTTCTAATATCAAAACAGTCTAAAATAATTGGAGGCAACGTGAAGAGCCTTTAAGAATTTATGCATGCCTATGTTTAATGGAAAGAAGACTTTGTGTTTCCTAGCAAGACTTATTTTCTAGGTTTCAAGTGTCCAGCCCTATGTATGCTTGGTAATACCATTTCAAGGGCTTAAAGCCACATGACATTCCACGTGTTTAAAAATTAACTCATTTTTAAGTTGAGACCTATTTTTAAAATAAATTTTATTGTGGTTAAGGTGTAGAATATTTTAAGATCCATATATAGTATACAGTAAACTATATTTTCTTAGGTATTAAAGTGGAATAAATTAAGTTTCATCATCTCACATAATTACACATTCCTTACTCCCTTACCCCATGCCAAACTACCTACAATTTACACGTGTGCCAAGAATTGTGACTATAATACCTGTTTACTATGGATGTCACACCGTGTATTTACTTGTTCATCTTACGTATTTACTACCGTACTTCGTGTCTTTTGATCTACTCTTCCCTCTTCCCTTCACGGCTGCTCTGGTACTCACTCCCTCGTTCCCTCTCTGTAATGAAAACACCTACTCTTGTGTTTCTATTCTGTGCATTAATCCTACCACATGTTCAACTCACAGAACAAGAATCACGCATCCCTTTCAACCAGCTGTGGTCTGTCACTCTTCTTTACCCACATGGCTAAGTAACGGCTCTGACTGTTTAGTTTACTCATCCAACTCTTACACGCCTGTAGTCTCAGCGCTTCTTCTCAAACTCTTCCAGCTCGTTTCAAACTACAGTGTTCTGTTCTTTGGATTCCACTGGCCTAGCAACTGCTCTTCCCCACTCAGTGTGCTCTTTCCCTTCCACACTGCAGGTGCAGTGAGATTTCCAAAGTGCCATTCCCGTGCGATCTCTTTACAGGAGAACCTTCAGCCTCAGACACGCTGTTAAGATCAAGGTAAGATTCCTTAAGAGAGCGAATTAGTTGAGTTATTTTAGGACAAGTGACAGAAAAAGTAACTGCCCTGACTAAAGCTATGAGATCACTAATGAATTCACATTATTATCTCACATGTACTAAAAGTACAATGAGTGCCTTTTCAGACACAGTTGCAAGCACCTTTTCCCCTTTCTTTGTCCCGCAGTGCTTAAATAAACCTTTCTCCCAGTCACCCTCCTGTGACGTTAACAAGGAGTACTTGTCATTTAAGACACTGATAGTTAAATCAGGCATAGTGGTGCACGCCTGTAATCTCTGCGCTCCAGAGGCTGAGGCAGGAGCACTACTGTGAGTTCAAGCCCAGCCTGAACTGCATAGACAGACCCTGTCTCAAGAGAAAAAAAAAATATTTGAGGCTTTTATCTTCACAGTTTAACTTAAAGAAAATTCATTGTTGAATTTGCTGTGTGTGAACAGCATGCTGCCATAATTTCACTGAAGTCTGTTGCATTAGCTAAAAGCACAGGAAGAGGCAGTAAGAACACTTCTTTAGGAATCTCGAAAATCCACAGGATGATGAAACATTTGGTGAAATTATCACTTGCAAGGGAAACGTGTGCATAGTACACTGAGCTATGGATTCTAATTTTTGAGCAAAAGGTTGGTAGTATGAGTCGATCAGCATGAATTCCTTTTGCAAAGGAATTCCATGTAAGAAATGGGCTCAGGAATGAAGAAGAACAACAAGAAAAAGTTAGTTTTTAATTAGCAAAAGAAGTAGAGACCTGCAGAGCTAATAACTGAATTTGTCTTTCATCGCCATTTAGTAAGTTTCTCAAATTAAGGTAAAACTTAAAGATGAAATAAATCAAATCAAGGATGTGTTCACAGAAGCACAATATGGGAATAAAGACCGTACAAAAGATATAATGGTCAAAAATAGACTTCACCCTTATTGGAGTAAAGGCATGTCAGTAAATACTTCCATGTGGGTACAGTTTCTTAAAGATGTGACCGTACTTCTGTGCTTTCATGGGAGACTGATATATTCATCAGCTGAGGCTGTCATAAGTGGGAAAGCTTAAAAATCAGACATTTATTTGCTAACATAATTTTATCCATTACACCAAATAATAGACTCAAAGAGCCTATAATTAAGTGTAGAAAGTGAATGAGAGAGGTCATGTCTCAGAAACAGTTGCAAGTATGGTTTTGGACACAGCAGTGACTAGGATTAAAACAAACTACAACAAAATCTACCTAAAATTTTGTGACTATATTACTAAGAGTTTTGCTTATATTGATTTAAAAATTTGTAAGTATTCTACATTTAAAATACATGTTGGTACACAACTTTCTGTTTATAGGTAAAAGACTGAGAATTGCGTTCTTCGCTAAGGAAGGCTACTCTGCATGCCTGTAGGGTTTTCTTTAGCTACAGCCAAAGAGAACATCCTGAAAGACAGAGCCAAATTCCTGGAGAATAATAGACACAACTGTTTATTTAATCAGAAAAACTGGGAACCAATCAAGAAGTGTTTTCCAGGTTGGGGGTAAAGTCACATTTTCTTATTAAGGTTGCAGAATTTCTAAGGTGGCCCATGCCTGTAATCCCAGCACTCGGGAGGCTGAGACAGCAGGATTGTTGTGAGTTTGAGACCGGCCTGGGTTACAAAGTGAACTCAAGGTCAGCCCGAACTGCATAGCGAGACCCTGTCTCAAAAAGGCGACAACAACAAAAAAATTCCTTTCCATTTTTCAGTGAATACTTATTGATTGTTAACTGTCTTCATTGCACTTTTAGCTATGTAGAGGAGCTGATGTCTTTTAAACTAACAGTCTTTTGGTGTTAGAGAGCAATTAGGAATATTTAATTAGGCTTGAAGAGGGAGTAAGCATACATTTTACTTACAATTTACCAATGAGCACCATGATAGCTTGTGTTACGAGTTTTCAATCATCCATTCCTTCCCCATGCTTGCTGTGCTTCCTCACATCACTGACTTCGGGATTAGCCACGTGACGCACAAATGTTCCAGTCTGATACGAACAGTTGTGTCTTTTCCCATCTGAGCAGAAGTTCAAGAGCACATGAATGTCTTTAGAGTCCAGCTACTCTAGTGCGCACCCACCACAGGAGCTGGATTGAGAAAACATGAAGCCGAGTCTGTCTCTCCCAAGCTAACCCAATAGTTGACAGGAGATCTCATGTAATGTGTAAAGGAAGGAAGTACTTGTTAGATGCTGAAAGTTTGAAACATTGCTTTAGTGTTTTAAAACCAAGAAAGTATCAGGTTGCAAATATCCTAAAATTTTTTAAATTTAAAATTTTTATTTAAAAAGATAAATAAAAATAAAATAAAATTTTTATTAAATAAGTAAATTGTTATGCTGCTGTGTGAAAACAGCAGGATACACAGTTTTAGAAAGGAATGATTTAAATTTTATGAAAAATATTTTTGAAAGAATATATGTACCTATTGCATGAAAGAAAAAAAAAAGTCACCAAAATCAAAACAGTAGTTATAAAATAGGAAATTTTGCAGAAGATTTACAAGATCTAAACTTAATTACTTATTTATGCCCTCATTAATTACGATTCTGCAGTAAACACTTTAACTGCTTTGCCTCACTTGCAACTATATCTGCTTCTACTTCAGTGGGATGTAATTGTGGGATTAGATAATATACAAATGTGCAAGTATCATTATTAATATGTGCACGCAAATCGTTATACTACTGTGCAGAAAGCTGTAAACAAGTATTAGCTATCATGATTTTTTATTTTGATACTATTAACATGATAATTTCTCTATTTCTAAAAAGCTTAACCTAGGTTTATGTTGCTTTTAGTCAGACAAAATCAAAATCATACAGGTGGAAAAATTAAACTGGCAAGTTCTAATATAAAAATTTTTATGAAGAATAGCACAAAGAAAATGTTAAGTGACCTGTGAGTGAGAAAGAAAGGTTCCTAGTCAAAAAAAAAATGGTGAGTGAACAGCCAGCAGCGACAGAGTGGAAATATACCAGAGCTGCTCTGATTAGCAGTGTGTGCTCATCAGAAAAGCCAGCTGATTGATCTCCATAGATTGTAAAGAATAATTTGAAAGTGACCTAGAAATGTGGAAAAGAACAGAGGAGGCATCGCTAAAGACATTTTTCTCTAGAAAGTTAAAAACACTCTTTATACCCAGTGGGATGCATTTTGATGAAGCCTTGGTTTATGTGCTAGGAAAAGCACCTAATGGAGACTCGGTGCCTGCAGAGCGAGAGAGGCCGAAATCGAAGCTTTTATACCTGTTTAATGGAAAATAACCGGAGCCTGGACTTTTTCAGCATAGTTAAAGGATCCTTTAAGTACAAAAACTGAGAAGGCCTCTAAGAGCAAAAGGGTCTTCTGAGGTCAAAGCGGCCAGAAATTGCTGAGTCATCACTGAGTTAAAAAAGTTTTTACAAGAACTGAAAGATATAAATGAATTGTAAGTATGTTCATGTCCTGTTACCCTAGATAAACAGGAATTTCTTATAAATTATTTTCTTAATGCAGTATATTCAAGAACAAACCATATTTTTATTGATTAGATGTGCTAAGAATAGGTCATGAAACCACCTATATTGCCTCTTAAGTTTCTCCATGAATTTGTGTATTAGGCTTAGCACATGGGAGTGTCAGGTGGCTCATTTATGTGAAATTATCTTTGTGTGATATGACTTTTTATGCCTTTTTTCTTTCTAACCTTTTTGTGTGGCTCAATCTGTCTTGCTACATAGATATTTTTCACTTAATACACACACTGACAAGTAATTGGTACCTAAAAATGGACTCTTTCAAAACTGAAGTATCACATCAAACAAAGCATATGTATGAGCTTCAGTGAATTGTCACAAAAGCACAATCGTGTAATTGTGTCTCAGCCCAAGAAATGTAACATGACCAGCAACTCAGAATTCTCTTTATTATGTCCTTTGAGTAATTACCCCTTTGTAAGAGTTAGCACTAGTCTGATTACAAAGAAATTACTTTTGCCTTTACTGAACTTTTAGAAATGGAATCACACAGCATGTCTTTTTGTCTGCTTCCAACACCAATACTACAAGGCTTTAAAACGGATATTTAAAACAGTAAATATGTAATATCTTAGCTGAGGAGGTACAGATGCACATCAGAACTTAACGATTACATTGTGAAGTAGATAATACAAAAAGGAATGAATCATTGGTGGTTTTTTTTTTCAATGTTTTATCCTCTGCTCAGTGTGGAAGGCTGAGCATTTCAACTACATAAACATACTGAGCATTGCAAGGTCTTCTTTTATTAAGCCATAGGGATCATACTGCCCCAAATTCATCATAATCTGTTGGTTACTAGTGAGTCATAGAACTACTGTATTCTAGAACAAGGGAATTAGACTCTGAAGAGAGGGGTCAAGTTTCTAGAAGAGAGAATGGTAACATTTCTATAAAAGACTAAAGAAAAAATATTTTAGCCTTTCAGCCCCCATAAATCTGTTGCAAATTTGTCATTATTTTATGACCATGTAAAAATTTGTTATTTTATTATTGGTTTTTAAAAATTCTCTTTATAATAAAAAATGAAGAAGCATACTTAATTCATGGGCTGTAAAATAGCAGGCAGTACAGACTTAAGCAGATTAGGTTGTGCACTGGAGTGTGCTAACTTATTTTCTAGAAGAACTTATGGTAGATAAGATGTCTACAGCAGTAGGATGTGAGAAGCATGTGAGAAGATAAGCATGAGGCTGGGTAGGACACTGCATAAAATAAAGTTGAAAAAGACATTCAGTGTGAAGTCATTAACATGAGTAATAATTTTATAATGTACTCTGTATGTTTATTTTCAGTTCTTATGCCTATATTAGTAAACAGTTTATAAATTCAGGAGATTATGTGGAGACATTGCAAATATATAATATATGTATCTCCAAATGTTACAATGTTGGAAATGCTATATTGAATTATGTGTTTTACAGTGCTATTCTGATAATCTTGGGGAGAATATACAGTCTTTCCTAGTACAAATGTGATGCAGGGAGGCTGGTTAGGAAGCAGGCAATCTGAAAAAGCTGAATTAAAATATGTGGTAGCATAGATTTTAAAGAGTGCATTTAGAAAGGATTTTAAAATGATTCAGAAGGCAATTGGATATGAAAGAAGTGTAAAAGTGGAGCCAAATATTATTCTTAAAATAACTGTAAAATTAACTTTGACTTAAACAAAACAAAAAATATAGGCTCAGAATTTGAGAAAGACAATGAGATACATTTTGAACATATTAGGTAGAAGTTGTCATTAAGCTTGAATATTGTTAATAAACAGATGAGAATACATACTGAAGTTAGTTACAAAATTCTTAATGGATAGAACATAACTAAAGAAGAAGGAGCAGATGACATCTCAATGAGATATATATTTAAAATAAATTTAAGGAGCCTAACATTTAAGACCTAGAGAAACAGAGTAAAAAATGTGAAATACAGATAATCAGGAATTTATAAACCATCCCAATTAAGAAAGCCTTGATAAAAACATAATAAACAGATACTAGTTACTTGGAGATGAAATAATGTGTAATGATGTTTTAGCTATATTTTTTGTTGCTAGGACAAAATATATGACATTCAGAAATTAAAAGAGAAAAGGTTTGTTGAGCTCACAGTTTATAGAGGTTTCAGTTCATAGTCAGTTGGCTCCAAGTCAAGGAGGCTGGGCAGAGGGCATCACAGAGAAGACCCATCTAAGACATGGCAATCAGAAGGCAGCAATGCAGCAAGCACCGGCACCAACATGCCTGTTGACAGGGGCAACCCTTTACCAGGATAGGGACACCATTATCCACACCCTTAATCCCAGTATCACACTCTTAATCCACATGCACACAGTCTACTCCAGCCACCTTCCGATTTTCTACTTATGATGACATGAGGTTTTGGGGGGATATCTAGATGCAGAATGCAACATTCTGCTCCTCTCCAAAGGGGATAAATGCACATCGTTTTATGGATAATGAATTTAGTCCACCTCTAAGAGTTGCCAAAGTTCTAATGCAAAGTCTTTTCTGAAATTTAAGCAAACGCTGCCTTCAAACCATGTATGATTGAAAATAAAGTTGAAAAAGTCCAACATACAATGGCACGTTAAACATTACCACTTCAAAAGCTACACATAGAAAGATAGAAAAGAACAGGGTCAAAACAACACCAAAATTCAGCAAGGCAAACATTAAATACGGTAATCCCATGTCCAGCATCTGAAGCAATCTATGGCAGGATGTGACCTCCAGAGAGCTTAGTGGGTCCCACGGCTGCAGCACTGCTGCGGGTTGCAGCTCCCATGGGTTACTTCTTGGGCTAGATTTGCTCACTGCTTGTGGTTTTTCTCAGACAAACCACGATCCTGCCTTGTCCAGCTTTTGAGGGTTTCTACCATACCTTTGGCTTCACACTCACAGCTTCACACATGGCCCTCTCAGGGACATACTTCCTGGCCTCCCAGGCCTTCTTCTGAAATCTGGATGGAATCCTTCCTGACTACACAACTCCTCATTCAGCATGTACCTAAAACCAGCACCACATGAAACATGCAAAGTCTTCCACCCACTGGAGCAATAGCCAGACTTTCTTCTCTCTTGGCAGTAGGGATTAAGTAGCTGGATTACTGAGCAATATGAACCCAAGCCAGAGGAACAACTTTCCTAGGCAGTTGCTATTTTGGAACATGGTTCTCAGGTCTTTTTTGTCAAACCAAAGTCATTATCTTTGCAACTTTGAGGCTGCTAAGGCTGTAGTCTTGCTGGTTCCTATGTTGTCCTCAGGCCATCTTTTCTATTGCTCCGTTCCTTCTCAGAACCGAGTTGTTCTCTGCTTCATCTTTGCAGTCTGCAAGTTTATTGGAGTGCCCTTTCTGTCCAATCTCAAAATTTTTAAATCATTCTTGATTTTCAATATAGTTCTGGTTAAACACCCCCAACAGTAACCATTCAATTGCCCTAGTATTAGACTGCCTTGAAATTTCTTTCGCCAAGTTCATCTCTCATACTTAATCTCAGCCTCAGCACAAAATCCAACAGTCAGTGCAGTCCTTCCCAAGAAGAACCTTTGGAGGCTGGCCTTTACTGGCAGCACTTCTATTAGCATTCTGGTCTTTTGAGCTCTGACAAGAATCTCCCATCATGTTCAGCTTACAGGATTCCAGGAATGCTTAATCAGATGGCTTCTCCAAACTTCTCCAGTTGCAACTGCTCCTGAACCTTATGGTCAGGTAATCTCATAGCAATGACCCCACTTCTGGTGCTGAAATCCGTCTCAGTTGTTTTTGTTATTATTGCAACAAAATATCTGACACCCACAAGTTGAGGGAGGAAAGGTTTATTTAGCTCATAATTTGTAGAAATTTCAGTTTATAGTCAGCTGGCGCCAAGTCAGGGCACCGTGGCAGAGGGCATCACAGAGGAGAAATGGTCCATGGCAGGGCAGGCAGAAGGCAGCAAAGCAGTAGGCTGCAGCAGCAGCAACTAACCAATTGATTGGTGCCACTCACACTCAGGGGCTTCCATTATCCACACACTAAATGGTAGTATCATGCTCTTAATCCGCTTTTACATATGCTAATCCAGCCACCTTTGAAATTCTCCACCTATGAACATATCAGACTTTAGGAGGGGCATCTAGATATAAGCCATAACAGGTATCACTGCAAAGAAGCTGCTAGATAGATAAAAGGTGATCAAGCAAAAGTTTCAGTAGAACTTCTAGAAGAGGAGGTATATTTGTTTCAAAAATTTTAGGCTTTAAAATTTTGATTCATCCTGTATTTTGAATTAATTTCTGAATGGATCTATCCTTATTTACATTTATATGTTAAAATTAGTTGTATTTGAAGTCCTTAAAGAAGTACATAAAATTAATAACATAGAAAAAATATTAAAATTGAAATTATAAATATTTTTAGAATAAAAATACATTTAAAGTATATTATCAAAAATGTTCAAATTGTATGTTTAAATTCTTAATGTTTTCTCATGGAAACAGAACCATAATGAAACATTTAAAGACTATACTGTACAATTGGTAACATTTTATTTATTTTTATTTTTTTATTTTTATTTTTTTACTTGGTAACATTTTAATAGGGTAATAGCACAGTTATTATTTTCAAATTTCTAAATTACAATAAAAATGAGGAAAATAATATGATGGTTAGATATCTGTAGTAGCAAGAGGGAAGACATGACAAAAGAAGTTGGAAAAGTTTAGAGAAGCAGGTGAGAGAGTTTAGAATTCTATGAGCATTTTTAATTCAGAAATTCTTGTGGGAGCTCACAAAGATCAGATAAAAACTTTGATGCTAAAGACTGCATCAACTGGGGTTCAGACAAAAATGAATATTCTAATGAGAATTGGATTAGAGGCCATGTGTTATATTCTGCTAAATAATTTTACCCATTCCCTGTGAATATGTAACATGCTCAGTTTATAATTGATAGACTAATTAATCTGGTAGAAAGATTTTTAAGGCAACACAGCATTCAGGTTGTAGCATGAGAATTATTGGCTACTTTTAGCTAGATTTAAAGTGAGAATTGGGAGCAGAAGACATAGCAGAAAGATACGAAAAATTTGCAACTCTATCAGAAAAGGAGTGTACTTACAGTTGTGGCCAAGGAGAATGAAAAGACTAACGTCGTTAAAAAGAAGCCGAAAGTTTTGTATAGGAACAGTAGAAAAGATGCCTTTTGGGCATCTCAGGAACTGGCCAGACGACACCAACGAGCTCGAAAGGAATAAAAATATCAAACTTTTATCTGAACAGAACCCTGGAGCATCCTGCGAGCACAGAATCACTAAGGGAATAGTTTCCCTGGAATTCATTTTCCTGTGTTGACATTGCGACACTTAAATGCTCCTTCAGCCTTGATTTCTCCCAGCTCTGTTGTAGCTCATGCTGGCAGTAGGAACAAAAGTTATAGAGTCATTGAGACTCCTATTGAGATTTCAAAGGAAAACTTGGGAGGTCATGTATGAGAGACAGAGTCCCTCTCAACAGCCCCTAACAGGGCAATGTGTGAAGATGTAAAATTGAACTGGAGCTACAATGCTAGAAATGGCAAGAGTGTGGAATACACGCTGAGGGAAACTACAGCAGCAAGCAAAACCATGTAGAAGAATTGCCCTGTGGGTTCCATCCAGAAAGGCTGGAGAATGTGGCTGTTACTAATTTTCCTTTCTGGGCTCTTGTTCATAACAAATGATGTCAACAGACACAAAACTGAGGAATGCACCAAGAGCAGTTTATTAGAGAGAACAAAGAAAAGTTCTCACTAGTTGGGAAGGAATCCAGTACAGGACACCAAGGAGGTGCCTGTGATCAGTGGCTATACACAAATTTAATGACCTATTTGGTCGGCACAAAAAATAAAACACTGGCACAATATTGTTGCAATTGTTAGCTAGGTCTTTGACATTAGAACAGATTTGTCCTTGTACCCCAACTTATCAGGGTGTATCTCGGTTTGCCCAAAACCTTGCCTTTGGAACAATGTGGTTGGCATTTTTAGCAAGACCCCTGACATCAATAGAACAGATTTTTCTGGCCTTCTAGCTTCCCAGGCCAAGTTTAGTGAAGCTTTCTCTCTTGGATCACAATTTTTCCAGGGCTTACATCAGTTCACTCAGGTCCATAATCCTAACGTCTATTGTTTTACTCTTTTCTGATCTCAATTTCCCAGCAACTCTGGTGTCCATAACTGCCACTAAGGAGGAGAGGGTGGTTTTTTAGATGTTTTTGCTGTGAGGGGATCCTTGATAGTGTGTCAGTCAGGGGGCACCACTGTGAAGTCTATGTATAGGCCCTGAAATGAAAGCAAGAGGAGTGTCCATTGACGAGTCTGTCTGCAACTCTTGCTATAGTTCCAAGATTATCAAATGGCAGAAACAAATCTGACTCAAAGGTTACATATGCATGGTCTAAACAATCAGGTAAGGAATTATCAATGGTCAGGGGAAGTAACTAGGATGCCCAATTTCAGATTCTTGACCAAGATCTCCACTGGACAGTTTTTGCAGGTTTTAGAAACATGCTCAGGTAGCCGTCATGCTGCATTTTTTAATATTTTAGATTGGCTGACATAAAAACAATATTTTTTCTCTAGAAACAGGCATGACCTTCTTTTTTTAGGGGTCAAGAGATTATATAAAATTTTGATAATTTCTTTATTGTCTGAAGATCTTCTTTTACCTGAAGTAAATTATTTATCTAAAGACAAGGTGCTTTATTTATGAGTGTATAAGATTTTTCAATTTCAGCTATAAGAAGACCAAGAGCTCTGTGGTTTTAAAGGACAGTTCTAACTAGGGAATTTAAAGATTTTTGTCCAACTTTTATAGCTGTCGCTGTGACTTTCAAACCTTAAAGAACCATTAGAGTGATAATGTGCTGGTGTAGCTGGAGACCGTGCGCAGGGGATGGTACTAATTGGAACCCCTTTGTAAATCTAGCCTCTATGTCTAACAATTTTGTGAACTTTTGATTATACATTTCTGCTGGATGTTTACGGCAAAGTTAGAGTGAGGCCTATGTTAAATAAAAGTAATCTTTGGCTATGTGTGGAGTCTGTTAGATACTTTATCAATATTATTTTCTAGGATGAGTCAATCTTGCTCGACTATACGGCTCCCTTTGGAAGCAAGGGAGGCATGTCTGTCTTTCATAACCCTCCTTTTAGCACATCGTACACTGGTTGACTCCAGTCTTCTGGAGCCCAGCAATTTTCCTGTTGAGGAGGTTGGGTGACTCACCAGAGTTGCAAGACCTTTCATATGGGTGTCCTCATGACCTGCACCCTTATTGTCCTTGGAGGGCCAGAGCAAAAGTATTGTTTGTCTTTTTGCTTTTAACTCAGTTCTCTTTTTCAGTGTTTGTGTTTAAGCTTCAGTTGTTTAAGACCCAGGAGGTCAGTTACACCTGTACCAAAGTGGGAACAGTAAACTTAGCTACATTTATCTGGATGCCAGCCACTTTTAATTACAGAGTTTGGCCAAAGAACTGGTAATTTTTAAATCATGGTTGTCACTGAAGTCAAATTCTTATAGTGTGATAACAGATAACAGATATGTCTTACAGGGAAAATTTGAAATCAAGGGCAAACATAGTATTTTAATATCACAATTATGCTAACATTATTACAGAATTATTGTATGATAATTATGCTAACATTATAGAATTATTATGGTTTTCTTTCATCTCTAAATGTATATTTAAATTTCCATTTTAGTAAAAAATAACATCACAGAGATGAACTGTTGATTGTTAGATGGGATATTTGTTCACTCTCATTATAAAACCAGATTTGAGGCCTTGTGTTTTTGTCTTTACCTTACACTTGGAGAAAAATCAACCTTTTAAAATCCTTCATTTTAGCTGGGTGTGGTGGTGCATGCCTGTAATTCCAACACTCAGGAGGCCGAGGCAGGAGGATCATTGTGAGTTCAAGGCCAGCCTGGGTTACAAAGTGAGCTCAAGGCGGGTCAGAACCTCATAGTGAAACTTGGTCTCAAAATGACAAAAAAAAAAAAAAAAAAATCCTCCATTTTAAAATTGGCCCCAAATTGATAAAATAAAACCTAAAGATGACACTTTGGGGACAGATATTGAGCTACTGTAATCTAGTAAAATGTACTACATGTCATAAAGATTTCCCTTGTGTACTTTCTTTTTATTTTCTTTAATCTTTGAGACAGGGTCTCACTGTGCAGTTCAGGCTGGCCTTGAGCTCACTTTGTAGCCCAGGTTGGCCTTGAACTTGCAACTCTTCTCCTGCCTCAGCCTCGTAAGTGCTGTGATTACAGAAGTGCACCACTATGCCCAGCTCCCTTGAGTACTTTCGGAAAGAGGGAAAGAAAAGAAAAAAATGAGAAAATTCAAGATTCTGCTTAGGTCCCCATGGTCAGGCTGAGTGAGCTCTCTGCATGTGCAGCCCACCCCCAAACCACGGCCAGGCTGCAGGCTGCCTCATTTGCTGTCTCGACTACGGTAGGCTTCCCTGGCAGTCATGCAGAAATCTGTTGCTCATATCTAGAATTATCTTCCTTGTTCCTGGCACATAGCTACTCTAATCTTCATCAACAGATCAGGAAAGCAGAGAATGCGAATTGCACACAACATCAGAACCTTACTCAAAACTTTGTAAAAAGCGTTATTTCTAGAGACCTGTAACAGACACAAGGAAATCCTAGAAGGATAAAAAGTCTGGAGATGTCACTTA